CAGTGCTTCCTGTCACCTCATTGCCCTGACCTCTCTGACCCATCAGACTCAGTGTACTCACTTACCCAAGGGTTCAGTAGCCTTCCACATGGGAAAAAGTCCCCATCTGGAAGAAGGAAGGAAAGGAGGAAGGGAGGAAGGAAGGAAGGAAGATGATAGGTAGGTAGGTAGGTAGGTAGGTAGGGGGTGAGGAGGAGAGGGAGAGAGGAGAAGGAAAAAAAGTCTTGAGCCATTCACACAACTTTGATTTCTAATCAAGCTGCTTCTTAGCAGCACATTTCACCTGAGCCCTGGGAAAAGACCTAAACCACAAAGGTCTTGGGACCTTGGAAACCAGCCTTTATCTGACTGAACCCCGCACCATCCACAGAAGGAGCTTCAGAAACCCAGAAAATGATACAACCAGGGCCCTTTGATTATAGAAGATTGTATCCCCTGTACACTACGCCACCTCAAATAAAAAGCAGCTGAGGGCTGAGGCTGGCGCTTACTGAATCGGAGGCCCCAGAGCAAGCCCAGACCCTGACTCCAAATTCTCTTTCCCAACCGACTTGATTTCAACTTTGACTTGCCAATCAAGCTGCAGCTTGTTCCACTCAAGTCCCCAGCTCTGTTTCTCCGAGCATAACCACTGCCTGTCTTCATCTCGCTTTGTGGGGTCACGTCCCATCGCTAAGCCACAGATCTCTCGTGAGCCCTTGTCTTTAACCCTCTCACTCTGAACCCTCTCTCCAACTGCATGTAGCCATTCCAGCCACTCCCAGCTGCCAAAATCCAAACTCTTTTGAGGATAGTCAGGCTCCATCTGCCTGCCTTTCTTACGTTCTAAAACATATCTACATAAACACAACTCACTCAAATCGATCACTAAAATAGAGTATGCCTGTTTTGCATTGCAGCTTACCTTTCTTTTTCCACCCTACTCTCCCACCTCAATTAGACTTCTGCAAATACATCCTTCTGAGTGAGTTTTTGAATGGTGATGGGACAAATGACAGAGAAAAGACGACACTAAAAATTAAGAGAAACAGTTTAGAGATAAATTGTGAAGAGCTGATGGACCATCTCTGGTTTCCATTTAGTTCAGTGAGGTAGAGAGGACTGCTAGATATTGCCTCTTGGTCCTCAGCTTCTATCGCTACCTTTTTCTACACTCCCCTCTGGATCGTAGGGACTGGAAGGCTTAAAACTATATTTTCCCAACTCCCTTTCTGCTAGAGTTCTAGATGAAATTTAGCTTCTGCTGATAAAATGCCAACAAAAGTGGAGGCATTCTCTCTGGGGGCAGTGGTGACTAGTAAGCTTGCTCCCCAAAACATGAGCTTTTGCAGTGGCCACATTCCATGGTACCCTGTCTGATGACCAGCCTTGTGGGTACTGGGCAGCTGTCATGCTGGCAGCATTTTCCTGATCTCTGGGTAACAGTAGACAGCAGATGGAAGAGAGAAAGAAGGCACTAGATTCAGTAAGATGGACTGAGCCGCATGCCCTTGGCTGGAAGAGCTCCAGCTTCTTACCCCAGCATCCTCTCTCCTCAAAAACAGGGTCCACATGATTGAGACACTATTCCTTATACATGAACTTTAAAGTGAGTGACTGCTATTCACAAATCAATCAATGAACCCATCATATTAATAAACTAAAGAGGAAAAGTCACATGCTTGTATCAACTGATGCAGAAAAAGCATTTGGTCAAAACTCAACACCCAATCATGACAGAAACTCTCAGAAAACTAGGATAGCAGGAAACACTCTCAATTTGATAAAGAACATCTACAAAAAAACCCTACAGCTAAGATTATATTTAATTCTAAAAGACTGGATGCTTTTCCCCTAAGATCAGGTAAAAGGTAAGTATGTTTGCTCTCACCACTACTATTCAGCCATGATCTAGCCAGCTCAATAAGGCAAGAAAAGGAAATAAAAAGCATATGGATAAGAAAGGTAGAACTAAAACTGCCCTATTTGCAAATGTCATTATGGTCTACATAGAAATCCAAGGAATCTTTAAAAAAAATTCCTTGAACAAATAAGTGCGTTCAGCAAATTCACTGCTAACAAGATCAACATACAAAAATCAATCACAGCAATGGAAAAATTAATTGTATTTCTATATCCTAACAGTGCAAATGTGGGAACAAATTAAAAATACAATACCATTTATTATCACTCAAAAAATACAGCAGTGGAGTGACTGCTGTTCACAGGTCTCTCAGCTACTAGAGAGCCCTGTTCTGAGATAAGACACCTCTCCACCCTGACTCTAGTAAAGAGGTCAGGAAATCTTGAGTAAGGTTGGAGGTATTAATTTCGGGCAGTTAATTACATTCTTTCAGCATCCATCTCCCTGAAGTTTTCACTGGGCAAATCCTTCAGGAGGACATCCCCATTAGCTATTCATTTTTCTTTCGCACTGACGGGAGAATGAAGCGACTGTTGGCGGTGTCACACAACTCGTCGAAATTCACCCCAGGGTGAAGTGATCCTCAAATAATTACCAAATGTAGTTCAGGTAACTGAATTAGTGAATTACCTTGGCTCCTTTGAGATGAAAGACTCTTTAGGAATGTGAAATACTTCAGCTCTTTGTTATTAATAACCTGAACAATGAGAGAACCCAAAGTAGTATTCAATATGCTCCAGGAATGGGATGACTAGAATTAAAGAATGCAATTGATTTTCATTTTCCATACTTTTCATTTTCTATCCTTTTCATCTCAATAGTCAGGACTGAATATGACAAGTCATCAAATCCCCTCTGATGGTAATAAGGCATCAACTCTTGAGCCTGGGAAGAGAAAAATTTAGCCGAAGTGTGGCAAGGACATAGTTCTCCTCCTTTCTGTAATTTATTACCGTTTCCTCTCACCCATCCTATTACACTACTCTACGGGTGAAAATCTCCTACCTTGCTTGCTTTTCTCCTGTCTTAGTCTAATTTTCCAAAATTAAGAGTCTCAACTGCTCTTCCACCCTTCAAACATTTGCTCCCATCAGTGGTGCCCACCAGAGAAATGTAGGATGCCCTAGGCTTAGTGCTCTGCCCTCGACACAAAGAAGACAGAAGCCTAGAGATGAATCCCTGGCAGACAGCTTGACCTGGGGCAGGAGGAGTGGGAAGCGGTGGGGAGGGGTTGAGGGCTGGTAAATCAAGCCCCTGCCCACCTGAGGTTGGTAGAGGGCTGAGGATGTTGATGGAGATGCTAGAGGCTCTACTCGTGCTGGATATGGGTGTGCTGCATTTACTGAACTTAATTTAGTTACTCATTTTTAGATTTCATTTTTTTAAAGAATTGAGTTTTCTATTTTTCTCTCTTTCCAAATAATTTTTTAAGTGTGATTTATTTTGGAATGGGAATAGATAATACATTCATATAGCTCCTAATTCAAAAAACATTCAGTTATATACAGTGAAGTCTTCCTCCCACTCCATGATCCTGCCACCTAGTTCCCCCTCCAGAGGCATCAGCATCGTTGACCTAATTTTCCTTGCAGAAATGTACAGGCAAATTTGTATAAGACATCCCTTCACCATTTTTTATTTACACAAATAACTCACTCTTCTGTTCTGTACCTTGCTTTTCCCATATATCTTAGAGATCATTCCATACTAGTATACAAAGACCTCCTCAATCTTTTTAATGAAGAATATTAATGTATCTTCATCTGTCCAACCACTCCCCCATTGATGATCATGTCCATTAGTTCCAATTTCTTGATACTACAAATTGTACTGCAGTGATTAACCTATCATTCCCACATATAGAAGTATGTATGTTTGTAATTTAACAGAATTGCCATAGAATTATTATATGAATTGCTAATAGGATTATTATAAATAATTCCTGTAAACAGAATTGCTGAATCAAACATTATGTATTTGTAATTCTGATGGATATTGCCAAATTGCCATTCCATGTCACCTGACACAACATCCTTTGCCCATCTTTCTATAGCATTATTGGTCTTTTTCTTATTGATTGTAAGGCAATGAGTTACAAATATATTTCCTAATTTGTCCATTGACTTTTGACTGAGCTATGATTGTTTTTGCATGGAGACATTTTAAAAAATACAGCTGAATTTTTCAGTATTTTATTTTATGACTGCTGTAATTTGTGTTATAATTTTTAAAGGTTTCCTTCAGTCATAAATTACAGTAAGAAAATATTTTCTGATTTTTTAAATCTTTTTATGGTTTCATATTGTTATATTTAAAATTTGTAACCCATCTGAAATTTATTTGGTTAGATGTGAGGTATGGCTCCAAATTTAATTATTTATTTATTGCTATAGCTAACTACCCTGTTGTCCAAACATCACTGATAAAACTCCAGCGTTCCCTGGTGATTTGAAATAAGACCTTTACCATGTGCTAAATCCCTATATGTACTGGGGCTACTTCTGGATTTTCTGTTCTGTTTCATCTCTCTATTCATGTGCCAGTGACACCGTGGTTTGATCTTTTAAAATATAACTAGAAGTACTTCAATTTTTAAAACTTATTTATATCTCTCCTTAAGGCAACTTTTCCTTTGGGTCAGTGATCCATGGAAACAAGGTTTCCTGTCTGTGTCTTACAACTTTGTTTACTTTCCCTGAGATAGCTTATGACCAGATTTTTCTTAATGTTCCAGGAAAAGAAATGTAGCCTCTACCATCTGAGTGGCATAGTCAAATGAATGAAATAGCCTCGGCTTATGAGATGACCATAGGAATACCATATTTTACGTTTCCAACTTATCAGGGTCACGAGGAACAGGCTTTTTTTTTATCTCTATGGCCACTGCTTTAAAATAAAGGTGTATATTTAATGAATATTTACTATATGGCAAGTTGTTTCAGTTAGGATGCTTTTGGCTTCAAGTCATAGAAACAGATTCAAACAGCCTTTCACAATAAGGAAATGCATTCACTGTGATAACCAGTTCTCAATGGGCAGGAGGTTGGACAGGCAGTTACCACAGCCCGGCCATGTCATTACAGATCCAGGCTCTTACCGTTTTTCTGTTCTGCCATTCTCAGTCATTGGCTTCATTCTCAGGCTGATGGCAAGATGGCTTCAGCATTTCCAGATATCCTCTCCAGACATGACAGCACCCTGAGAAAGAAGAGACAGCATCTCTTCCTGCTCTCTTTCTTAGGAGCAAGGAAACGTTCCCCACAAGTCTCCCATGTATGAATGGCCAGAATTGGGTGACACGCCCATTCCCAAATCAATCACTGACAACAGGGATGTGATTACCTTGAGGCCAATCAGACCCACCCCTGGGCTGGGCAAGGGTGAGTTCCCTCCAAGGCACATGGCTGCTTGGAAGAGGGGGGACACTGGCACAAAACCTGGATTCTGGTAGAACAGAAGTGGGTAACGGATGCTGATAACAAGTATGCCCTCGCCTCTCTCTCTTTCTCTCTCCTGACTGTCTGGTTTCCTTTGCCAGGCATGCAACAATATCCCCCTTCACATACACTTCGTGTTCGGTAATGTATTAACTGCAAACTCATTTATTCAATAAACATTTATTGAACTCATACTGTATATCCAATACTGTGTGAGGAACTGAGGACTAGAAGGACAGACAGGGGTCCTGATCTCAGCGATTTAATTGGAGAGGCAGAAAATTAAGGAACCCCATAGTACAGCGATCAGTGCTATGGGAGTTCTAAAGAATGAGTAACTTAACAGAACATCACGGTAAAAACAAACGGAATATTTCAGCTAAGCTTTGAAAGATAAGTGGTAATCAAGAAAGAAGGAGATTCAGGCAGGGAAAGTAGTTAGTATCAAGGACCAGGAAGGACATCGGCCTGGCATGCTCAGGTTACCGTTAAGTGTTCTGTATGTCTGCCTATCGCGTGAACAGGGTGATGTGGTGCTCTTTTACCCAAAAGAGTGAAGACACATGGAGGGAGGCTGTGGGCCAGGCTGCACTGCTTAAGAGACAGCGTCAGTGGATACCATCCCTAAGAAGTGCTGGCAGAGGTTAAAGCTAATTGCAGCATTCAAACACAAACAGCAGATTATTAATCAACTTCCTGAGGTGACAGACCACCTCCCAGAGACCCCTAAAACTTTCTTTCACTTCACATCAAGTTTCTTGCAAAAGATGCCAATCCTAACCATCTTCTCACCTCCATTCATTCCTTAACCCCAACTCATTGATGTTAACAGTATGGTGGTGGTTCCTGCTAAGGTCACCAGTGGCTTCAACAGCTGCAAGACATAAATAGAATAAAACCACCACCAATAACAATAGGAAAACCTTCCACACCTCCCTTCCTATCACATAAACTATTTATAATTCACAAATTACACTGATTAATACATTTAGAGACCCCCACGCACTGCAAGTATGATTTCTTGCTCCCACTTCAATATGAAATTAAAATTTAAAATAAGCCTAAATGAACATTTTTTCCACAAGGACTTCACTTTTTGATAGATCATATTCTTTCCAAAAGAGGAAAAGTCTCTCTTTCTCTGAACCCCTGCTTGGTTGCTTATTTAAGCACATGTATAGCCCACCAGCTGAGTAATCCAGCAATAAACACATTCACACCTTGTTTGTAGTAATTTAAGTGGTGTCCCCCCCAAAAGATATATCCACTCAGAACCTCAGAATGTGATCTTACTTGGAATTAGGGCCTTTGAAGATGCAATTAAGGTAAAGATCTCTAGATGAGATCATCCTGGATTAGGGTAGGCCCTAAATCCAATGATGAGTATCCTTATAAGAGACAGAAATAGAATTACAGAGACACGTGAGAACATTATATGACATTGGAGGCAGAGACTGGAGCAAGGCATCTACAAGCCAAGGGGTGCCACAAATTATTGACAGCCACCGAAGACAGGAGAGAAGCATGGAAGAGGTTCTCCCTCAGAGCCTTGAGAAAGAACCAACCCTGCTGACAATTTGATTTGAGACTTCTGGCCTCCAGAACTATGAGAGAATACATTTGTAATGTTTTAAGCCACCCTGTTGTAGTAATGTGTTACGGCAGTATTAGGCAACTAATACGTTATTCGATAACATTTTGAATTAAAATGGAACTTTCAATTGTAAGAAAAAGAAACTCACTCCAGTTAGCTCAGGAAGAGAGGAACTTCTTGTAAAGAACTGCTGTCTCACAGGACACAAAAACAAGGAATTAGGCCTCCTGCTTTTGGAGCTGGAAACCAGGGCTGGGGAGGGAAGTGACTCTCCATCTCTCAAAGGCCCCTAATGAGCTCTGTCATGTTGCTCCCTCTCTGAGTCATTCCACCCTCCTCTCCCATCCTCTCTCCTGGCTGGCCTCCTCTCCTTCACACACTCTCTGGGTGTGTGTGGCTCATCAACATGACTTAAGACCCAAGTCTTCATAAACTTCAAGTTTGTTCTCCACATCCAACTGACTGTCTTTCAACATCCCAATTACAAGTTTTCAGGTGAGAAACTGGATTGGCTCAGCTTAGAGTTACCCAAGGGCCAGACCCCTGGCCAGCTGTAAAGACCCCGTCTCTGACCCAGTCAGAGCACATGAGAGGTGGAGTCCCGCGGCCTGAGCGCTGCTCCTTCCAGGCTCTGGGCATAACTCCCCCTGCAGCGGCCACAGCAGTGCAGGCGAAGCTTGGCCTCTCTCCTGCAATCTGGTCACCTTTCTGCCTCCCTCGCTAGACTGTGAACCCCTTGAAGGCAAGGTCTGTGTCTAGGACGTGGTAGATAGTCAAGGTAAGTTTGTTAAATACAAAGGAGTTAGTTGAGCTTTATTGAATTGTATCTATTCAGTAGACCAAGAAAAAGGTAAGCGTTTATACTGCTTGCTCTTTCTTTCTTGACAAAGTGGTCATTTTAAAGCTAACTTCCTTCCCTTAGCTCATTCCAGGAAACAGCAAAGAGGCTATCTCTGCACATTTGGTAACATGGCACTCACAAATCCACACAAGCCCGCTGCAGTCCCTGACCAGTGTATCTAAGGTAAACAGTGCCCTGATCTCTTCCTCTCTCTATTGGTGTCCAAACCCCCTCACCTTTTGGCTGGTGCTGTGATCCTTCTTGACAGAGAGCTCACGCAAAGCTTTGCCTTTTTTTCCTTTTCTTTTCTTCCCTTTAAAGAGAAAAAAAAAGGATTCTTTTTTCCAGAGATCTTATTTTGACAAAAAAACAATCTGATGGAATATTCTTTCAGATGCCTTCTTAGCTTTTTAGAAGCTTTTACTTTTGCTACAGCTGTTATGTTGAGACCCTTTCCACATAGCCTCTCCCTTGAATCCAACCTTCCCTGAGGACACAGCGCCATGCTAGGGCCTGGTGGAGATCAGAAACATAAAAGGACCAGAAGAAGACACAACTTCAGTCACCTCAGAGCTCACCAAGGGTAGGGTACCCAGCCGGGCCCAGGCAGAGAGGGCCCAAGAATCATCAGGGCCATGTCTGCCTGAGATTTGCAAACCAAAAGGGTCAGGGACCTGGAAACCACACTTCTCAGTCTGGTGGGGAGAAGATGATCATTATTGTGCTAATCAGACAGACTTAACCGAGGCAGGAGAGGAGAGAGGATAATTCTGAAGACTACTCTCTTTCTTTCAAGTTAAGTAGCCCTCCTGGCTCATATGAAAGCCACCCCCCACACACACCAAGTTGTCATTAAAGCTGCCCCAAGGGAGAAATATTGGAAAGGGAGCATGTGTAGGGACCTCTTTAAACTCTGCAAGGCATGGACATCATAATCCCTTCTGTGATGAATTAGAAGTATGGAAACCTAAGTAAAATAATTTCTGTCCCCAGACTAGAGCCATTTCTAAATTTAAACATCAATCACCTCTTCTCTTCCATGTGTGTACCAGCAAGAAGCGGCCATGGGTGCTGTCAAAGGGCTGTGAAAATGTAGACCCCCACATACCAGGCATTACTGCAACCCGTACTCATGCTTGCAATCATACTCATACACACACACACACACACACACACACACACACACACACACATACACACAGCATATACACACAGAATGCCTGCACTTGTCCAGAGAGATGAATGGCCCAGTGGCCCAAAAACCAGTACCCAGTTTCATGTTGGCTGTATTTCCAGAAAGCCAAAGCTAAGGGAGGCTGAGGTCCCCTGAGTGGGGACAAGTGATAACCGCCAGGGTCCCCATCAGGTATCTAATAACTGGGAAGGAGTGGACCTTACAAATGAATTGGGCCACTGGTCAGTTTGACCAGCATTAGGACAGAGTCAAAACATCACATCTGGAGTCTTGGACATGGACAGAAAGGGCCAGAGGCAGCCTACATCAAACATGGGACCTCTCCTCCCTAGAAAATTAACCCTTCCACCCCACCTAACCCTTTCCCAATTCTCCCCTTGTAACCAAGCAGGACCCTGTGGGGCTTTCCTGGGACAGACTGCTCCCCCATATCCTCTGCTGTAGCTCCTCTCTGAAGTATCCAGATAATAGTGTCTCAGGCATATTTCTTGAGTTTTTCAGATGCTAAAGCCACCACCAAAGGGAAGAAATTAACTACTTGATGATCATGAGCATGTGGCCCCCAGATCTTCTGGCTCCTAGGGGTTGATGGTGTTGACCACCCTGCTACCTCAGCATCAACCAATGAGAGAATTGTGCACAAGCTGATCATGTACCCTGCGACCTCCCTCCCTCATCTGGCTTTTAAACATGCTTGCTGAAACCCTTCCAGGAGTTTGGGGTTTTCTTGGGCATGAGCCACCTCATCTTTTTTACTCTGCCCTGTAATAAACCTCTTTCTGTTCCAAACTGTGACATTTCAGTTTGTTTGCCTCACTGTGCATCGGGCACATGCATTTGCCTTCAGTAACACCCTCACCCTGGTGAAAGCTCCCAGCCGGCCCAGGCAGTGTCCCACCCACTCAAGCTCATTTCCCATGCATTCACTCACTCACATCTTCAACAAATATTAACAGGCACCTACTGTGTGCCAGCCTTGTGCCAGGATCTGGAGAGACAAGGATGCCAGACACAGCCTGCATGCTAGCCCGGCTGGGGCCAGGGTAGGAGCTGTCCCTCTGCTCCTCCTGTTCCAGCCTTGCTCCACAACAGGCCCTCTCTTCAGAGAACCATGGCACCCCTATTTCTTCT